ACTAGAGGCATCACTGCTGTATTATAGAGATAATACATGTTATTCTCTTAGTGTCCACTAGAGGCATCACTGCTGTATTATAGAGATAATACATGTTATTCTCCTGGTGTCCACTAGAGGCATCACTGCTGTATTATAGAGATAATACATGTTATTCTCTTAGTGTCCACTAGAGGCATCACCGCTGTATTAGAGATAATACATATTATTCTCTTAGTGTCCACTAGAGGCATCACCGCTGTATTAGAGATAATACATATTATTCTCCTGGTGTCCACTAGAGGCATCACCGCTGTATTATAGAGATAATACATGTTATTCTCTTAGTGTCCACTAGAGGCATCACTGCTGTATTATAGAGATAATACATGTTATTCTCTTAGTGTCCACTAGAGGCATCACTGCTGTATTATAGAGATAATACATGTTATTCTCCTAGTGTCCACTAGAGGCATCACCGCTGTATTAGAGATAATACATATTATTCTCCTGGTGTCCACTAGAGGCATCACCGCTGTATTATAGAGATAATACATGTTATTCTCCTGGTGTCCACTAGAGGCATCACCGCTGTATTATAGAGATAATACATGTTATTTTCTTAGTGTCCACTAGAGGCATTACTGCTGTATTGTGCATTAAATCATCTCTAACTCATCTCTTAGTTATTGGTCATTATATGTAAACAGTAAGGGGGCAGGGCTTCAGCAGAAGATCCACATGCAGACAGAAGAACCTGAAACATTCGGACCTGTTCTTCAGCAAGTCGGGCCAGCGCTGCCTGGGCAGAGCCTTCCAGCCCCTCTAGCTCCGCCCTGCGGGAGGCTCTGCTCTCATTGGACGGCTCTACTGAGCTCGCTCCGAAGCTGGAGAGACGCTCCAACACACGACCATGACCACCTGAGAGGAGAACACACAGGAGGTCTCTCTCGGACTACAGAACCAGCTACACAAAGACATTTCAGACTTTTACACATTATTTAAAAATGATTAACTTTATCAACTTTGTACAAAAAGAAACTCTAGGAGATAAAGCAGTAAATTACAGAGGTGGAAAGTAACTGAGTACATTTACTCAAGCACTGTACTAAAGTATAAATGTATCAGATTAGAAAACGTTATTAATCCACAGTGGTCAGACAACAATAGACACGTAAGTAGTTAGTTACTTGAGTACATCTCAGAGGGAAACCGTGTCCTTTTTCATCTACACTTTGTTTGATAACTTCAGTTATTTTATAGATTGAAATGTTTGTATAGAAGACATAAACACACAGCTCAATCAATTAATGGTTGAAGATGTTTTTACTGTAAAACACATCTGCTGGATCCTGATGTAACATTAATAATGTGGTATTAGTACTTTGACTGTAACAGAGTATTTGTACTGTGTGGTATTACTACTTTAACAATGTATTTTTACAGTGTGGTATTAGTACTTTGACTGCAGTAAAGGATCTGAATACTTGCTCCATCATTGGTAACTGTAAATTGGACAGGCCTTCTGTAAACATAGTTTTACTCCATCCCTAAAACTACATTCATGTATTTATAGTTTATAGAGTACTACAGTACTACTACATTCATGTATTTATAGTTTATAGAGTACTACAGTACTACTACAGACCAGTGAGCCGTCTGATCTCACCGGACAGGAAGTGGGCTTCTTCTTCGTTGGTGTCGGGAGCAGCAGCGGTCGAGCTCAGAGGTACTGAGCCGGAGGTCTTGGAGTACAACATGTCCAACAGAAACTTCTTGTCGGTGGGGAGAGTACTGCTCGCTGCAGACACAGAGGACCACATGGTGACAGGAAGTCTGAGGGACATCCTTCAGAATAAAAGCAGCAGCTGACTCATTGGTTAACATCTCCTTTCAGAGAATCATCTTAAATATAAAATCTATTTTATCTCTTTTATTAAGAGAGATAAAAGTCACTGAGAGCTGCTGCAGGTCCAGAGTCTCCTCACGTCACTGTGTAATAATATTAATACAAGAATTCACACTGAAAAGCATATTTTGAATGCTGGTGAGTTAATAAGATCAAATCAGAGATGATGGTTTGAACAAAAGGCAGCTTTCACTGCTAATAAACCAGAATGTGGCCTTCAGAACAAACTAACTGATCTAGAAAAGACATTTTAAATGATGTACATTTGTTTTTAGTGGTATTGTTTGTTTCGGTTCTCGTATCTGCAGACAAAACAAATTCAGTAATCGGGAAGTAAACATGGAATCAGAACATCTTTATGTAAAATATACGACACACTTTATAAAATATCCATTTATCGAAAAAACGTTTGATTGAATTCGATTCATACAGTATTCATAGAGTAATAGTAATACTATAGTATTAAAGACAGTTTTCTGTCCACTGACTGAACAAGGACAGCAGACATCCACCAGGTGGCGCTTCAACACCACAGAGATGATTCTTCATCAGCAGAGACACAAGTGAACAGACACTGAGGATTGTGGGTAACTGAAGTCTCACCTGGGGCATTCTGGGACTCTGAGTGTCTGTTGGTGTCCAAACTGCCGGAGGTGGAGACTACCGACAAAGACACAAGAGAAGAAGAAGATGAAAACGAGGGCCTGTCCCTTTAAGGAGACGTGAACGTGATGTCATGAATGAACATATTTACGTTCTTCACTCGGGTCACTGCTGCCCTCCTCAGCAGACTGCAGAGTCGGGGTGATGATGTCATCAGACAAGGACAGCCTGGACTGGCTGAGGTGTTTACTTATTCTCTTCTTCTCCCACTGAGTGACTGCCAGGCTGTGTAGGAAGGTGTCTCTGTAGAGGGGGGCAGGAAACCAGGTGAGACGGAGCAAACATTGCCGACACGCTGCTTCATCATCATCATCACTTATTGATTTTATTAATATCATGTGTCTTCATGTTCAGACTCAAACCAGAAACAAGTGTCTCATAGAGCTCCTTTAAATGTTTTTAAGACTTCTTCAGTAGGAACCAATGAGACGCAGACAGGAAGGGAGACCGTGTTGAGGGACGGACCGACATGTTGACGGTTTGAGTCTGAACATGAGAAACATAAAGAATGAATACTTTTATTTAGAGGTCTGCAAAAAAAACAAAAAAGAAAAAAACCCAGCTGCAGGCGGATTAAACACCAGAGATTAGTCTCCACCCAGCAATCAGGAACTATAAAGACCAGAGATTAGACTTCACCCAGCAATCCGGAACTATAAAGACCAGAGATTAGACTCCACCCAGCAATCCGGAACTATAAAGACCAGAGATTATACTCCACCCAGCAATCAGGAACTATAGGGACCAGAGATTAGACTCCACCCAGCAATCAGGAACAAAAAGGACCAGAGATTAGACTCCACCCAGCAATCAGGAACTATAAGGACCAGAGCCACCAGCAACACACACACACACAGAAGCAGCAGAGCCCGGCCATCCTCCCTCCAGCTCCCAGCATGCAGTGGGGGTGCAGCTGTACTTACTGAAACCTCCTCAGAACCGGTTTGTCTGGATTTACATTACAGTCATCTGAGCTGCAGACACACACACACACACACACACACACACACGTTTTGTTCCTCAGAACAAACAAATAATGAAGTGATATCAGTGCTGCAGACAGTGTCAGAATAATAATAATTTTAATAAAAGTTTTGATTTGTGGTCAAAACCACATGTTTACTTTAATTTAAGTATTTATATCAGTTTCGATGTTAAAGTCTGTGTTCTGCCACTGTGTCCTCGTGAGAGGGACCACTTAGAGAACCAGTCAGAGGACCAGTCAGAGGACCACTATATACTCACTTTTCTTATCACTAAGAGTGTTCAATAATCCTAATAAATCAGTTTGACACCATTTTGAATAATTTTGAGCAGTTATGATGTGTCATATCTGTCATTCATAACAATAAATGGCTCATAATGTGCGTCTATGTGACCCTGGTAAGGCCTGTGCTTGGCCGATTTACTCGTGCGAGACATTTTTAGATGCGGGATAGTCCAACGGGAGCCATGCGGGGGCGTTTGATCGTATCCGGGTCTGTTTACTGACTTAAAAAAAATTAAAATAAAAATAAAAATCGCAAAATGCTGGGCGAACCCCCCTCTCTACATGGATTGCTCCACCCCACAGAATCGTCTGCCATTTTGTGATTCATTCCGCCAGCGCATTGATCTCACTCACAGACATGCAGCAGAACATGGCGGGCAGAGCTGTGCAGAAATCAGCTGGAATAAATCCGTTTTACATCGCCAAAACTGAAGTTTTTTTACCCAATTTTTTTTCTCGTGACCTGTGGCTGATGTTGGCATGTATACCCATAACTTTTGAACGGTTTGAAAGAGAGTAATTTCGTTGCCACTGTGCGTTTCCGGGTCGAATCGTGCCCCTCCTGCATGTGTTCATCCGCCATGTGCGATCCTGCTCCGTGATGAGAGAGCCATAGAGAGAGCATAGGTCGTCGATTTTTGGCCAAAATTGTGGCAAATCTTCTAGATATCTTCCAGATATGATACTAGTTCATGTATAATTGTGTTTGCAGTGTTTACAATGGCTGGTATGATGATGTTGCTCGGACTTTTCCCGTTAATTCGATATTTAATATGTCTGGAGCAATAATCATATTTCTTTATGAAAAATGCTTTCTACGACACGCTGAATGCTGCACACTCTAAAACAGCCCCCCCGTGGGGGGCTCTCGGGTCCAACGGGTTTTAAAGCAGTGGTTCTCAACTGGTCTGGCTGCGGGACCCACCATCACCCCTTAATGACAAGCTGCGACCCATATATATACATACATACACACACACATACA